GGGCATAAATAAAAGAGAAAGATAAATCTTCAATGTCCAACATTTTAATGTTAAAAATCACTTTTGCAATGTCCGAGTTATTTTTTGAACTGTTCAAATGCTGAAGCTTTTTTAAGCTTTTACTTGCAGTATGATATTAAATAATTTTTTTTTCAAAAAAGTAGCTTTTATTTTTTTTTAAATTTGATCTTTGGATAACTTTTTTAAAAATAATTAATTTTGCAGGTTTAGCCACAACTCAATAGAAACTAGATACACACATATGTATGTATTAAAAACACAATTAGAAATTAATATTGGTAAATTTAATATTTAAATTAAATATTTATAATAAACAAAACTTATACTATGTACTGGTGTAAACATTAGATTGGAATAACATTTTCTTTACGGCAGAAAGTAAATTAATCTTCTAAGTTAACAGTTTTCAACCACTAACAATTAACTGGTTAAAAATACCCCCTCCACTAACATTTTGAATTTGAATGAATGACAACTAATGATTAATATATATGTATAAGTGAATTGGAAAATAAAGTAAAAATAACAGTAAACTGTTATAATATGGAGAATTAAATAGAGTTTAACATTAGAATTAATATAACATAAAATTCAACAACTGAAAAATAAATAACGGTTTATAATATCCATTTGTGAAAAGTGCTAATGAGCTTTAAAAAAAAAATTGAACGTACTTAGCTGCAAAAAAGTTGGGAATAAAAATCTTGTATGTAGGTAAATTTGCTTTAAAAGCATCCGAAAGGCGCTTAAAATTTCAAAGTGAAACTTTCCTAAAATTTTGGGATTATTTGGCTCTATACATTTTCATAAATTTTTAAAAGCTAATATTAAACTTAATTATTCCTTTTCATTTGTCATTTAATGTTTTAGTATTAATTTTCTTTTACAGCCTTTTCTTTTCATTTGTATTAAATGACAAATTGTTTTAGTATTAATTTTCCTTTACTGCCTTATTCATTTCCTTATATGTATGTAGATTAAAATCGTGTTAAAGAAGCGTACTTCAAATGAAAAAAATGTATACTTCAAATTTTCTTACTTTAAGATTAAACAAGATCACAACTTGGTTGCTAGCTTTTCTCATTTTAAAATGTTACTGACCATTTCAAGATAAAAGGAGTTTCCCAATTTAGTTTTAATCAAATTAACAGAAGAAATACCCTTTCAGCTACCGCACTACAACGCGCTAAACTGAGGTAACTTTGAATAAATTTTTCAAGTTTTCAATAATATACTCGGTCAACTTCAATTAAAATGTCAAAACTGCAATATTGAAAATCTATTGAAAAAATTCTATGCAAACATATTTCAACTGCTGACGTCGGCGAATTTTCCTAAGTTTGGTTATTTGACACTTTAACTGACTAATTGATTAACTTGACTACAAAAAGATGGATAGCGGCTTTTGAATTAGCAGAAAAAGGTATGACATAATTTCGCTAGTCAAGGTATTGTCAACGAATTTTTAAATATTACAAAAAAATTTTTTATTTTATTTAAGAATTATATTTTTCAACTAAAAATTTTTTTTAAGAATAATTGTCAATAACGTTTTTAGGTGTTACTAAGGAAAAAACAAAATCGGAGCCAAAATACAAAAGGAGGAACCGGGGACACAAATTTTCAAATCGGAGCCAAATTGCTCCGATTGAAGCCGAACGACAGCCCTGGGCAAGTATAAACTTCGACGATTTTGGCTTTTGGAACTTGGTATATTTAAAGAGTGACCGTAAGGCTAAAAAGTTTTTAAATCTTACAAATTAGTAGGTTGTATTATGTATGTATGTAATGTATGTATATTAATATGCAACATATTTACATACGTTCATACATAATTACTCCATTTTGAGGTAGGTATATCGTGATTTAATTTTATTTAATCTGCAATAATTTTATTGTAAAAAATAAACAATTTTACACCGGAAATAATAGTCTAAATGCTCTAAATAATTATTGAAAGTTATTTCATTATATTCACTCTCTCTCATTCTTTTTTATGTATGTAAATAATGTGAAGCCTCTTATTTTTCTTAATAAATATTAGTTAGTCGAATTTAATTAACTATCTAAATATGCACATTCCAAATAACATTTTTTAATATAAATATGTGAATAAGCATGCATATAAAATATAATTTGATTTTAAATTACATATTTATATGTATAACGTATGTATAATGTACGAACGTATGCATATTTGAATTGGCCAGATCAACTGCTATTGTGACATATGCATATTTACATATATAAATAAAACATTTTTGTACATATGTTTTTGCCTGATTTCGAAATAAAGTTTTTTTTTGTAATTATTATTGTTTATTCTCTATCTTTTAATATATAATAATTTACATACATACATATGTGCATATGTATATACATACACGTATGTAACTATACATAATGTAGTTCTCCCTTACTTTTCTAAAATGAAATTTAAAAAAAAATATTCTGATTTTTATCATTCATTTCTTTCTGTCTTATGGCGTTCTCTATACATACATTCTCACATATTTTTATTTTAATAACGGAAACATATATTAACCACATTTTTCCTTGTTTCTTCTGTTATTATTATTATTATTATTTTTCTTATTATTTTTTTTTTGTTCCTCTTCTACTTGCTTGCTCTTATTCTTTTTCTTATTATTATTATCATTATTCTTATTCTCTTTTTTTTATATTTAAACATATGGATCATTTCTGAAAAATTTTCTTACCCTATTGAAAAACGAAAGTTAAAAAAAAAATAAAATAAAATTAAAAAATTAAATCTGAGGAAAAAAAACAAAAATATAGCAAAAGAAAATTCCGTTTATACCGTACGGTATCGTCCCGTAATCTATCTATATACTCCGTATAGTTTTTAAATAAAATATTCACAAAACAAAAAAAAAACACATAAAAATAAACTAAAAACATACCACCAACCAAACGAAAATCAACCAACCAAGTGTAGTACTAAAAAAAAGTACAAAAATAAAACTCTGTAGACTCTGTAGATTTCTGCCTTTCTGATGGTGATATGTTGTGTACGTACTGTTTATTCACTATAAATTCGACGATGATATTTTCAATTTATTTTTATTATTATATTTTTTTTTTGCTGTTATTATTATTGTTTATTATAATTATTGTTATTATTTTGAGAGTTTTCTACCATTGCAGAGACTTGACTTTGGTTGATTCTATTCTATTTCTGGTTTGCTCACAATAGTATATAACTGACATTCGTCGAGCGAAAATCGAGTGTCATTCGACTACTTTCAGTTTAAAAAAACAAAAACGAAAAAGGAATATTTTTTTATTTTAAATTTTCTTTTTCGTTTAATTTTTTTTTTTGATATTTTTAATATTGTTGCTATTATTATTATATTTATAATTTTTTTTCGCAACATTATTATTTAAAAAAAAGTAATGAGTTTTTAATATTTAAAGTTTTATTTTTTTTTTAATTTTTAAAAAAGTTTTGTTAATTATGAACTATTAAAAATAATATAAATTAAACAAAAAAAAATTTTAGAAATAAATACCTACATAATTTCACAAAAAAAAAAAATATAATAAATTCCATATATGAAATAAAAACAAAATAATATTTTATAATAATCCGTTATAAATAATTTACAAAGATTCAATGGCGCATGCGTATAATATAACCGCGTTTTTTTTCATTTTAATTTTCTTTCACATTTTTATGAAAGAAATAAAGATTATATTTTCATTCTTGAATGTACATATGTATATATGCATACATAGTTACCATGAATAAACATACATTTTTTCTCCTCTATATCGTTTTTTTTTTGTTTGTTTGTATTTCGTCCACTAAGGAAAAATAATAATAATCGATCATAAAATTATAAATTTTTTAAATAGTGTTGTTATATATTTTGCATTTCAATTCTTTTATTTTCTTATTTTTCATATTTTGCTGTTCTCGATAATAAAAGTATATGGTTAACATGAAATGTCATAATTAAATAGAATACAAATGATCGTTTCTCCAGATCATTCAATATTATATGTATATGATAAAACGGTAATAAAGATTATTTATAAATTAATGATGAATAAAATATTTATTAAATTTTGTGAACATAAAAAAGGAACGTTCCTTTTGTACACAATACATTTAATTAAAATATAAATTAAATATCTACTTAATATCATATCAATATTGCAAATACACGTGTACTTGTGAATAATCTGTAATTTACATTTGCAAAATTACAGAAGTTAAAAAAAACAACAACACGATGTGATAAATATATAACCGTATACATAGTGTTATTTTGGAAAACAAAGTCAGTATTTTATAAATAAATTTTCCAATTAAATATTTTAAATCTTCAAGATTTCAACTTATCATATTTATTATATTATGGAAATTAAGCTGAAACCTTATAAATATAAAAATATAATACCTTAGTTATTCTTTTAATACTTTAATTATTAAAGTTCAGTTCAATTATTAATATTGAATAAAAATTCTATTTTTGAATTCAAAATTCTAAAATTTGGACATTATTTTATAAGCGATTATTTCAAAAGACCATTTTGCATTGGAAGATTTAATTTACGTTGATCTACTAAAATAATGTAGCATATATACACGTGTATGTATATACATAGTTTGTACTTATACTATAAACAAAACTTTTATACTTATGTACTTATAAATTTATATTTGCAGCGGAATTTTACTTTGCATTCATATTTCTGACGAGTTATTAAAATTAAAAAAAAATTAAAAGTTTATTTTAAAAATATTAAGTTTGTAAACTTTGTTATTAAATTAACTTAAAAATTGAACTAACATAAGCAATATACATATATACTCAGATATACATATATACACATGTGTTTATAAACTATTTATATTATATATTTTTGAAGTAAAAACTTAATTTTTAAAAACTTATACAAAATATGAAAAATTAAAGCTCATATTCAATAAAAATATTGAATCATTTGATAAAAATATTTTGTTATAAAATTAATAGAAACCATTTAAAATTATTGAAATCTAAATGCAGAAATATATTTAAAATGGCTACCAAAATCATTAATAATATTACAAACTTGAATACGATATTATAAAATGTTAACATTTAATTTAATATTAAAAAATTATGAAGAACTGAAAGGATATGCAGGAGGATATTTTTAAAAAATTCAATAAAATAAAAAGTAATTATTTTAAATTTTGTTAAGTATACATACATATAATATTATTTTATTTTGTTTAATATAATATTTTAAAATTTTTCTTTTCATTCTATTCTATTTAAGAAATGTTACAAAACATGAACATAACAAGTAATAGTTTTGTTAAAAATAATTAAAATTAAAATAAAATTAATTTAATTTACTAGTTGTTAAATAAATAATTAATTTTGAATTTATTTTAAAATCATAAGTAGTACGTAAATATAAATAAAATTATATTTATATATAAGAAATGAATATCTTCTCAATTCAATGACAGAATTTGGCAACTTCTGCATCAAGAAATTTGTATATATTTAAATCTTACCATTGAAAACTTACTTCAGGAAGCTTAGTCTGTAGTTGAGTTGTTATAACAATAACTAATTTTTCAAGTATTTGCTTAACTAATTTCATTTAATATCTTAGTATATCAAGATATATTTTCACGGTAATTTAAATAAATTAATTCTTATTCTGATCGTAGTATACCTTTATGCCTAAGTAAAACTCTTTCCAACTAACAAATTCCTTATTTTTATTTTTCTTATATATGCTCCTTGTTTCTGTATGTTGTTTTAGTTTTCAACTTAATTTCAATGTGAAATCAACTTAATTTCGGTTAACATTACACCATCGGTAGATTGAAATCCTAACAACACTTCACCATCAACAAAATTGAATCTTTCAATCGAATTGAAACGCTTAGAAAATAAATTACATGAAATTTTGTGATGGTATTCTATTATAAAGAGATAATAAGTATTCTATATTTCTTAAAAAAAACTTCTTAACATAAGGTTTTAAGATCATGTCAAAAAAGGATTTTAAAATATTTCAATGTTTTTCAGTTTTAATTATAATTAGAATTTTATAAATTATCACAGAAAAATTTAATGAAAAAGAAATTCTGTAAAGAAAAAAAGTTTTCAAACCGATCGATATCAAGTATATACATACATACATACATATGCATATATATCAAAATTGTCTACATTTTCGAATATGGTATAAAATTGGAATTTTGTATTTAAAATTTTATATTCAATTTTATTCTATTTAATTTTACATTTCTTTATAAATTTATTTTTTTTTTTTAATTTTAAATATATTCCAAAAACAAAAACAAAAAAAAATTAAAATAAGCTACCTTTAAAATAGAGTAACGAAAAAATAAATACTTAATATGAATATTTCGAAAAATTGTAAATCAGTAATCAATTTACGTACATATGTATGTACATATAGGACTATATAAAATTTCCTATATATTTAGTTTACATATTATTCACTTTTATATACATATACATATACATAATGCAAATATAATTTATGCATGGACAAAAACGGACGTGTGTGTTTTTTACATATACACACATAATATAGAAAAATGTAAATATATTCAAAAAATTATACTTTATTTATATTTAGAAGGTAACAAAAAAACAAGTAATTTATATAAGATATACAACTATTTGTATACCAAAGGGTAAAAAAAAAGGCCAAAATTTCAATTTATAATTTGTCGCTTTTTTTTTTAATTTTCTATTTATTGCTTTTTTTCCACCAATTTTATTTAATATTGCTGTTAATATTAACTTTTTGTTTGAAAAAGTTCAATATTATAACAAAGGAAAAGCAATTCTTTTTTCATTTCGAATTGTGAATATTAATATATTTAAATATATTTTGTATTATTTCAAAATTTTTATTCTTCTTTTTGAATTCATTTAATCAACTGGGTAACAAAATATTCGTATACAATAAAAAACACAGAGTCGAGTTAAAAATGGAAGTTATTGGACTTTACTCAAAAAACAAAACTTATAAAATAAAAGTTTTTAATTAAATTAAAAGAAAAAATAAAAAAAAAAGAATATTTTAAATACTCACTCACATGTATATATTTATATCTAAATACATAATACAAAATTACATCTTGTATATTACCGATCATAATACCAACGATTCATATTCTCCAAAAATGTCATTCGCTTCGCCGATCATAATAAGGATATGTATATCTGTAGACACGGCTGAAAGTGCCAAGTGGCGTTGTTACAGATACGTTACATTATTTTCAATATTATCTATGTTGCTAATGTAAAAGATATTAGAAAATACTACAGGGGCAAAAATAGAGAAAAATTTTATTATGGAGGTTTATGAATGTTGTTTTTTGTTTTTAAATTAAAAGATTATAAAATAGTTTTTAGTCTCTCAGCATTACACAAAAAAAATAACTAATTCTTAATTTACTATTTATTTTTAATCTATAAATATTAAGTATCTACATTTTTTTAATTATCATAATTGAACTTAAAATTACTGAAACATAAAATATTAAATATGTGAAATAAATTTCATCTATATTTTTATGAATTTCAAGCGGTACGGGATAGTCAGAGAAAATGTTTGGGATTGCTTTTGATAATTATAGAACTTACTTTATAGCTATCAAAAGAAAATGTTTATGCTGCTGTATCATTTCTTTAAAAAAAATATTAGAATTTTGATATTACCTTTTCACAAAAAAAAACGGCCTCCGGACCTATTTATCATATCCATATCCTTCGTCCCTAACAAAAATTCAGCTCCAATATCACCTTGATTATTTAACCCCTAAATAAAATTTTTGCACATATATTGAGTAAAGATGAAAATTTGAATCGAAAACATTAATAAAATATACAAATTATTTATAATGTGTGACGAATGACAACTTTAATCAAAAATCAAATATGTAAATTTAGCATATGTGTATATATTATGCTAAACATATTTAATTCTGTAAAAATTTCTATATTTATTGACACCGAACTTTTTCTCGCTTCTTTAAAAGAAAAGACACTTGGCAAGCCTAAATCTAATAAAATTTTTACAAATTTTTTTATATTGTCAAATAAATTGCTCTAATATTTATTGGCATGATTTACTTCCAATTTGATTTTTATAAATAACCACTTCCAGATTGGGCTTTAGTTTTAACATATTTTGTTGTAAATAACTTATTATAAAAAAATACAGAACTAAAATTTAGAATAAAATTTGATTCACTTTTTACCTTAACATTATATGTACCTACACATATACATATTTCATTTTTTAAAGACAATAGGCATCTACATAATATGTACATAATGTAATATAATTGTATAATGTAATTATAATAAAGTTGCTAAAAACTATCAAGTATTGCGTATATATACATCTACGTGTACATGTATGTATATATACCAAATTCAACGTACATATGGCGACACACCAAAAAATCTCATGTTATTTATATTATTTACCAATTATATTACTTTACATAAATAACACTCTTTTAATAAAATAGCCCCCACAATATTCAAAATACTTAAAATAGTTTATTCTACACAAATAAAAGTTTGCATACAAAATTTTCAATATCCCATTTTTATCAAAGTTTTACTTACAATCTATGTACATAGAGATAATCACAAACATCTATAAAATAAAGATTCCAAATGGATTTTGACATTTGTTTCTTTTAAAATGTATATTTCATAATATGTACATATTTGTATGCATGTATGTATGCATATGAAATATATGCACTCTAATTGTTCTCCTATAATTTGTAAAGAACATAACTAAGATTGTATTTTATATTTTCGTCCAAAATTTAAGCATAAACTTCATTTAAATCCAACATTATTAATATTCCTTAACGTATGTATGTATGTATTTTCAGAAGTGGCCTTCTTACATTTTGTTATTCATTATAAATATTTTATTTTTGACACTAAGTTGTTTACTATTCTATTATAAATGTAATAGGGTCCCCAAAAAAAAAATATAATAAAAAAAAGCAAAAAAGAAACTGTTTTGTTTTTTGAAACAAAGGATTACCTAATTCAAAATTTTTGTATATTATAAAAATCTACATATGTACGAATATACATAAGCAGTCAATTATTTTTACACATTTTTTAAATTTTGTTTTGTTTTTTTTTTGGAAATCTAATAATTTATTGAATATTTTATTAGAGCACGAGTATGTAAAACTATAAAGTTCTGGTCTGGTTATAACGTTTTTGAGTATTTACTGAAAAAAATAGTCAATTCTTTAAAGATTAATCTATCTAATTAAGTAAACATATACAACATATAATACATTACACTATGATTTAAAATATGATTTTTTTTTCATAATTTTTGGGGACCGCATTGCATATTCGAAGTTATGTGTGGTGCTAAAATTCACATCTGGAATAAATTCTGCGTGTTAAAGCAGTAAACTTACAATTTTTTACCATACCTAAGGAACTAATTGAATTTCTTGAAAATCAATATTTGAGGTTTGGTTATTACCGAAGCCAACTAGTGACCTTTTCAGAGAATTCGGACTGCTCAAAATAAAAGTCTACTAAGAGCCAAAATTTCGTTTTTCTAGTTATGTTATTGAAAACTTAAGAACGGTGGCCATAAAATTTAAAAGAAATGTTTAAAAGACAGTTTCATAATCTCTGTGGAAAATTTTTCCTAAACTAGGCAGAACACTTTGCGGTCGGTTTTATGCTTACCACATCAGATTTTTTTATTTGATACTTACTGAATTACTTATTAAATTTGATGTCATGCGATATACATACATACATCCGACTCATATCATTACGCTACGGCTTTAAGAAAACAGCATGTTAAATGTCGACCTGACAAAATTTACGAGATTAATAGTTTCCTAATGTTAATGAATAATTAATGTTTTAATGATTGTACAGAAGATTTTGTCTAGTTCTGTATATTTTCATTTATACACACATATATTTTTGTGTAGTTGTGTTTTATGTATAGATACAAAATTTATCACCATTTTTATTGTTCTTATATTCTCGTTATTGTTTAGTTATATATTAATATTGTACAATTGTTATTGTTAAACTATTTGAAAATTTAATTTTTTTATACTTTTATTTGTATATGCATATACATACGTATGTATGTATATAGGTATC